GGAAGTGGGAGGGGCTAGGGCGGGGCTCCTCCCGTCCTCTTTTTTGCTTGCTGAAATATGGTAACCCTAACTTACTGTCAGTAAATCTCACATTTAACATTGACTTTGGTGCCATAGTACATCGTATCATTAGGGTTGCCAACCCTCCAGGATTGTACTGGAGTCTGCAGGAATTAAAGATTAATCTTTAATTAAAGATTGTGTCATGTGGTGAAATCTCCAGGAATTCGTCCAATGCTACTTATCACACATCATATCCAACTGTTTTCAGGTGTGTTTTGAGGTTCTTAAAAACCCGAGCATTAAAAAAGGGCATTTTTGGCAAATTAAAAAGCAACGGTTTCACCTGCAAAACCTTTGAGAAACTTGATTATAGAAAGCTTCTCAAACTTTCTGAACAATCTATCTAGGTAGTTATAGGGCGTCCATCATTACAAAAATTAGCAGCTATTCATAGAGTGGACCATAAAATAAAGAGATTGTTTTGAGGACACATCTCCTTCAATTTGTGAACACATGCACCACCTCCACTCCTGTTTGTGACTAGCAATTGTCCATATAGGAAAGTAATATTAGATGCTTTCCTAATATGTTTTTAACTTCTATTAATGAAACAAGGAGAACCAAAAACAACAAGGAGTCTGGTGGCACCTTAAAGACTAACAGATTTATTTGGGCATAAGCTTTCGTGAGTAAAAACCTCACTTCTTCGGATGCAAGGAGAACCAGTATCATGTGACTAGTTGGTTGAAGTAGTTGGTGTAGATGATTTTCTGAATGCTGCTCCAGGCTGGTTAGGGAACATGAAAGCAATATGCCAAGACGGCTAGCACTCATGAAGTTTTATAGCAAGCAGTGATTCTTACAGTAGTTTTTTGTTCTTGCATTTAACAGATCCTTTGGGGTCCATCAAATTTGTATGATTCAAGACAGGACTTATTGAAGGCTACAGTTCTTTGGGGAACTCAGAACAAAATTAATTTTAAAGCATGTTTGATTCTTCATTCCTGCCTGCCAGGATTAAGTCTATTTTTCACATCAGTGGATAGCTGGCAAATGAAGCTATTCCACAAAGGTTGCCTCTGTTTTTTGCCATCCGGATATAACCTCGATCACCCCATCTGGTTCCCCAGCTGCAGAAGAGAAACAAACAATATATTTGTTTTTATATATAATATATATAATGTTAAATCTTAATACAGGTTCCCTGTTTTTTTTGTTTTGGGGAGCAGGGGTTGCTATCGACTTTTTATAGTATGAAAATCCTAGCAGGGCAAATCTTGTTACTGGTGTTCCTGACACAAAATTTAATTGCTACAGCTCCTTTTCAGTTGTGGCTGACTGGGAGCTAGAGATACAGAGCACTTTTACAGATCAGAGTCTGAATGTTTTATAAAAGGAAAGGTCTGCATGAAAAGCAAGATTTTAAATTAAGCATAAATAAGCCTAGCAAAAATAAAGGTGTGTGCCCAGAGCTCACAATGCAGCACTTCTCTGAAACCATTGCACACTGGAAGTGCATTATAAATAATAAGAAATATAAATAAGTATACCCAGAACTCCACTTTGCAGACAGGGATGTATCAATAAACACATAATTGTTATCTTTGTCAGAACACAGATACGCTGTTAAAGCTCAATAGTTGGCTAATTGTAAATTGTAATAAGCTAACATCCACAATCAAAGAAAAGCTAGAAATGGGGAAAAGACTTTCACAACCTTGAAAAGAGAGTACTGGGCATGCCCATGAGTTTCATATTTATTATCTGTTTGGTTTCATTTGAGAATTTTGGAGAATTGTCTCATATTTTACTTCAGACACACACAATGTATTTATTTCCTCTTTGCAGGCCACTAGTCCAGCTAGATATCAAAATTATGACACACTGGAAATTATTTAAAAACATAATATCAGAATTCAGGGCCAAAATTTAGGTCTATAGTAAATCATATGAATACACGTTTTTTGTAATTGAAAAATGTCAGTGAAATTGCAGGTTCAATTGAATGCATACCCTTGTCTTCTGGAATGAACTATTCCTCTCTGTTTTTGAAACTCAAAGTCTTTAACCTTGTGCTGGTCCATGAGAATTAAAAAGCAAAACTGGTTAGAGAAAGGGAATGAAATCAACTAAACTAGTTTGTGTCAAGCTGCCTGTCATGTGCAAAACCTAAACAGAATTAATAGTGAAAAGTAAATTAGAATTTTAAAATATTATTTCATTTTTAATAATCAGAGATTTGGCTAACAGTTAAAGACTTTTAAAACATATTTTATTTATTTTGATGCTGTCCTTGTAAAGTATTAAAACAGTTCTTTAAGATGAAATAATATTTTAAAGAATTTTTAGGAAAGGTATTTTAATTAAAGAAAACTCATCCTTACCTGTTTTTGATGAGCCAGTATGGCACACCTCTGTCCACACAATATCCCACAACAAGAACGGCATGGTTTATATGTGAAGACGTGCATTGTGAGTCATAGTACACACCTGAAAATGGTTTTTTTTTAATTAATTAATTTATTTATTTATGAAACAACAGTGCCCAGAAGCCCCAATCAGGAGCATTGTGCTCCTGTGATCGGCATTGTATAAACGCATGGGAAGACAAAGTCTCTGTCCCAAAGAGGTTACAGTCTAAATTCCCAATTCTGCAATGAGTTCCATACAAGTACAAAGGTACACCCGTGCAGGACTGTGGCCTAATTTAAGACAAGAGCTAATTAGTGAGTATATAACTGTAGGACAGAAGTGGTGAGGGAGGACAAGGGTGACAATACAAAAAAACCTATGGTTGCATAGGTTAACTATATATACCACTTAAGGTTTATAAATCATTTAAAAGAGAGAGATGTAAAAATGATATAAAACAGAATAAAGATACAATTGGCAAATCTGCATTTGATTTTGAATCCGTTTTCCTAAAACAGATGGGTTGCTGTTTTGGAAACCTGAACCTCACAGGTACAGGATATATGGTTTCACCAATGCTGTAAACAGAGGTAGCCTCATCATTTAGTCCAGTGGGTCTCAAACTTTTTTACTGGCAACCCCTTTCACATCAGAAGCCTCTGAGTGCGACCCCCCCCTTATAAATTAAAAACACTTTTTTATATATTTAACACCATTATAAATGCTGGAGGCAAGTGGGGTTTGGGGTGGAGGTTGACAGCTCGTGACCCCCCATGTAATGACCTTGCGACCCCCTGAGGGTTCCTCACCCCCAGTTTGAGAACCCCGAACTTAGTCTAATCAAAAACAATTTGGGAATCTGACCCTGTAACCCTTTCTTATGTGAAGTTGATGGATCTACTTCTAAATCAGCTTTTTTAAGTTCCCAAGCTTCTCTCACTTTTGGAGCACACAGAGCAAGATGATTGATTGGTTTCCTTACATCTTTTCCTAAAGTCAGAGAGCCTCTAGTATATCAGCAGAATTATTTCTAAATAGGATGTTTCCCCACCCCCCAATAATTTAATAGAGTCATAGATTCCAAGGCCAGAAGGAATCATTGTGATCATCTAGTCTGACTTCTTTTATAACACAGGCTGTAGAACTTCCCCAGAATAATTCCTAGGGCATAATTTTTTTTTCCAATACAATCTTGATTTAAAAATGGTCCATGATGGAGAATCCACCATGACCCTTGGTAAGTTGTTCCAATGGTTAATTACACTCACTTAAAAATGTATGTCTTCTTTCCAGTCTGAATTTGTCTAGCTTCATCTTCTAGCCATTAGATAATGATATAATAAATAATATATTGAGGTATACCTATCTCATAGAACTGGATGGGACCAGGGTCATTGAGTCCAGCTAGCAAGAGCAAGTACTGATTTTGCCCCAGATCCCTAAGTGGCCTCCTTAAGGATTTGAACTCATAACTCAAGGTTAAACAGGCCAATGCTCAAACCACTGAGCTATGCTTCCCCCCCCCATCTTGTTGTACCTTTTCCTGCTAGTTTGAATAGCCCATTATTAAATGTTTGTTCCCCATGTGGATATTTACAGAATGTAATCAACTCATCCCTTAAATTTTCCAGGGCTGCTCTTTGACCCTGAATCAGCAAACCGCTTACTAGCATGTACTTCACTTTAGGCATGTGAGCAGTGTGACAGACGGACAGGTACAAACTTTATTGAATTAAGTTAAACCTTACTGAATTATGTTTAACATCTTCAGAGTTCATTGTATTAAAAATGTAAATACTTATGCACTATTGTGGGATTGTATGGAACTTCAAAATGCTTTTTGGAACACTACTTGTAAAGTGAATTTCCTAGACTACTTGAGAGGAGGGAAATGCAAATTATCCCCTTCTGAGCTTGCCTATTGAAGCTACGCCCTGGGAAGAGGCCAGTTACTTACTCTTGGAAACTCCAGATGAAGGACGCTGCACCTTATAAAAAGTGGACTAAACACATTATAAGAGCGCTTGTTCTGAGGGGAAGCTGTGATGAACTTGTAACCACAAGGAAACCCCTTGGGTCAGAATCTGAATGACTGCTTCTTCCAGAATCTATGTTAGGATTGTTGGGGTGAATTCTGGTGAGCTTATTAATATGCATGTAGTTCTTTTATTGTTTTTATTTGCTTTTTACTGTAAGAATAAAATAGGAAGAACTGTGTGGTACTTAGAATTTTTGACAATCACTCTGTTATCAGTCTCTGAAGAGAAAGCAAGCAGGTGTGGTTGGGGAGCCTATTTCTTCTGGGAATAATAAAGTGAAGGCAGGGAACTGTGCATCCTGGAAATAACCCAGTAAGAAGGGAGAGAGACATGTGTCTGCACCCAAGAGAGGCAATGGCTGGGGAGCTGGAAGCCTGAGAATGGTGCCCTTGCTGGACCATTGAGGAAAAATACAGGTGCAGTTGCCCTGAACTGTGACAAGTAGTTCTGTTGATTTCAGTGGAGCTACTCACATGCTTGAAGTTAGGTTTGTGTTTTGTTGATTCAGGGCCTTTGGCTCTAATTTTGTTAAGAACTGTTTAGGTCTCAGAAAATACAGGGAAAGAGAAAACTCCTTACCACTGTGGTAGTGTTGGAAGGATCTCAAACTTGCATCTATACCAACAGATATTGGTCCCACTGAAGCCACTGTTCTTTCAAGATAAGTTTCACTTCCCTTAGGTATTTTTTTATAACTGACACAGGTGGCAGCCCGTCCAGAAGTTTTATAACGGCAATTCTTGTCCTGTAGAAGATGGCAGACAGAGATATAAGGGCACAATAAGTGTGGCAAGTAGGTTAGTGCTAAGTTTTATTATCTTCATTAATGAACAGACTTCTGTAACAGTCCAGAGGTATATAACATACTGGTTTATTCAGATCTGTTTATGTGTTTTAGTTCCTTTCCAGTAACTTAGCTCATCCCAGAAAATAGAACTTACTCTTTCACCGAACAAGGTGCATGAGGTAATATCCTTTATTGGACCAACTTCTGTTGGTAAAAGAAACAAACTTTTGAGCCACACAAAGCTCTTCTCCAGGTCTGGGAAAGGTACTTAGAGTGTCACAGCTAAATACACGGTGAAAGAGATTGTTAAGGATAGGGAGTTAACACATGAAGATGAAGTGGGCAATTAACAATTTATCGTGGGACCAACACAGCTACCACAGCACTGCAAACAACTTGTTCACTGTACACACATGTACTAGCGTGATACATTCCATCCAGTAAATGCCAGTACAGTATACCGTATATGTATTAGCCAATATATTACAGTATTATCTGACTCTGCGGTGTGCTGGTATATGAAATGACACCATTATTTCCAGGACCCCATGTACAGCAAGATGGATATAAATTCTGATTCAGTGGCACGGTTTCCTACTTTCTGTGGCACTTACGCTGAAAATGTTGCCACAAATACAGGTAAAATTCAAAATGTGGGGTTTGATTCAATTTAATTAAATGAACAATGTCAACTTCAAAACAATCACTCTTCTGTCTAAATTGTTTTAAACCTCTTGTTACAGAAGGTAACACCTGAAATTACTATAATTGAAAAAGATTGCAGGAAAAAAGATTTTTCTCTATTTTGCAGTTTGTTTGCTTTGCCCATTTGTCAGCTCTTTATGTATAGTCTGTTTCACAGTTTCCCCTGTATAGTCAGTTACCCCTGTTGTTTGTGTGAATCTTTCACAGAGCAACAAGACTGAGAAAAGCATTTTTTAAAATAGGAAAATGGTTGCCAAATCACAAAAATTGGCAGGTGGCCTCATGCAGCTAGCTTATCTGATCTTATCATTATATTAAATTGAGTGGAATTCAGGTAGATGGTGCTCCTTTAAATATGAAAATATACTATACAATAGTACAATATCCCTGGTGGTTTTTTAAATACTAAATTCAATCTTATTGATTTTCCAGTGCTTTGCCCCAAGCTTGTTTCTGCTCTCACAGGAGTTTTAATCTCCTGACTTCAGTGAATTTACTGTTGATTTACACCAGGGCAACATAGAGCAGTATCATGCCTGTCTTCTGTAGTCATCTATACCTGTGCAAAGTTAGTATTAAATTCTACCAGATCAAAAGGACATCATTGTACACCGAGTTTGCACTGAGTCTGAACAGTTGCAAATTACTACACAAGGTGCAAAGCAGTGGAAAATGAGGTCCAGTTTATTTGGCTCCCCCACTGCATTTTCAGTTTTTGGTATACAACAGTGTTTTGGTTTGTTTTAATTAATAACACATAACTGCATGGTAGAAGTTGTCAATAGGAAGCTGGAGGTGTTGGCAGCTGGCTAGTGAACATCTTGGGTCTTTGGACACTTCAAAAGTTGTGGGAGGCAGTTGAAAATTGTGAGAAAAGCATATTAGCTACATATGTTTGCTAAAATAATCAACAGTGAAATAGTTAATACTTATTTAAATTGCCATAATTATGAATGGAGTGGTTCACACTTCTCGGGGAGCTGTTCTTTCAAGCACTCTGCAGACTCGGGAAGACAATACGGTATTAGGACTACACTTGGGTCCCGTTTGGAAGGTTTTCATAAACATATAGGATTTTTTATTTTATTTATTTATTTATTTATTTATTTATGTTAAATGAAAGCTTATAATTTGGCTCTATGGTAAGGAATGGATTCTGTTGCAAATTTTGCAGCCGCAAAATTTTGGAATATTCTAGGCCCTAATTATTTCTAGATGACATTAAAAAAAAAAGACATCACTGTGTGTTTAAATGGAGTTAAAATATGCAGCAATCGAGGGAAAACCCCAAAAATCTATTAAAATGTTAATATAACCATAGTATAAAGTAGAGGTTTGAGTCCTCCCCCTGATTTGTCTTTTAGATAAAACACGTTTGGTAAAATATAGACTTTTCCAATGTTTTTCCTCCCCAAAGAAACACCTCTGGCCCAGGTGATACTCACCCGACCTTCATATGGGTATGACGTTTCTGAGTCAATGCCACGGTTCTTTATAACATATCTGAAAGCATTAGTCATAAAGCCTCCATTGCAACCATGGTTGCCATATTTCCAGGAGCAGTCTACTAGGTTCTGGGGACTAAGTGACACCAAACGCCCTGTTTTCTTCTTCAGTTGTCCTTCCAAGGCCCCCACGGCACTGAAAGCCCAACAAGAACCACAAGATCCCTGCGGCACATTGCAAAGTTCAACAACAACAGAAAGGAGAGATGTTATGGCAGGTGTCATTAATAGCTTAATTATACATTTAAGACAACAACACTGGTGTAACGCACTGGCATTATTCCTGATTTACAGCAGCATAAGTGAGAGAAGAGTGAGGGACACAATGCAGTTGTGAGACAGGTATTTTTAACTATCTGAGAAGTAAATATAGCTAGTCTACCTGCAATTCTTGGAGACACATAGCTTCCATAAAATGAGTTTGATAACAATTTTTGCTAACCCAACCCATGAAGCTGTATGAATTGAATACATTAAGTAGTGGAACGATAAGTCTTAATTGAAAATGGGTTAGGCAGCCTTTCAGGTGACAGTTAAAATCCAGTCGATGGGAACAGTGACATTTTTTTTTCTGTGCAATGGCTATTCAGTGTCTTATGTGAACTGGGCCAAATTCCCCGGGTTCTTTTGCAGCACAAAGTGGCCTTAAACCAGCCAGAGATTTTCAACAAAGCATTCTCCTTGTGTAGGAGGAATGTCTGCTGATGCAGAGCTGGTGGAGGTGGTATAGCTGCCTTCCCAACCCCATGAAAGGCGGCAAGAGGCAGCGTAGTGGAGCTGAACTCCAGTATGGCTGATGATCCTATGCTAGCATAAAGGGTCTTATTCCTTCAGTGCCATCCTTTACACAGCAACATAAATTAGAGCAGGATCCGGCAGTCCTGATTCAAGGTGGCACAACTATCTCCCTGCAGCCACCACTCTTCATTACATTCAAGCACTGCTCAGGTGTAGTGCAAATCAGTGCCATTGAGTTTAGTGTCCTTGGTCCAGTTCCTAGCGGATAGGTATCCACATCACAAAAAACACTTCCATGTTTGATACTAAGATCAACCACCCCCTCTCCTTTCAGATCAGGGCTGATGCATGTTGGTAGGAGGTCAGTAGGGGGAGAAGCTTGCATTGCCGCTGCCTATGCTGTACTCTGCCTTCTCTGTATAAGAGCAAAGAATTTAATTCTCTGCTTTTGTTAATGACCCTTTTCACCTACATTAATGCTAAAGTTGTTTAAAATGAACAACTTCAAAGGAAGAGGCATGTTTTTTGCATAAGATAAATTACATGTTGACATGGATAATGCAGATATATAAATTTTCATAGAATGTAATTTACAAACATTGTATTGGTGTGATCATGCAGTTCTTCCTCAGCAATGTGAGGAAGGGGATGGGAGATTTGCACTACTCTGCAATTATGTGACTTGCAGTATTCATTCTCCACCTACTGTAATTTCCACCTCTGAGTTCGCACCTGGTTCTTGACATTGGTGACATAACCACTCTTCCTCCAATCTATGCAGTCTGGGGCCTGATCCTGAATACTTTCTTGAGGCCAATCAACTGTAAGGTTATCCATTTCTGAGTCAGATACTCTGAGCCCTGTCATTGTAGCCGTTACTTCCTCAGATGTCTGTTAAAATAAAAATTAAAAAAGGAATAGAGTACTGTGTATTAAATCAGCAACTGGTCATTGTGCTGTCAGGCAAGTGCCCTAATTGGCCAACTTTGTAGCAGTTGACAAATACATGGCAGAAAACGCCTAAGATTTAAACTAGATATACTATAAAGAGTGGCTGTGTAAAATGGCACCTGCTTATTCAATGGGGCTTGAGCCAAAGCCCACTCCTTTAATAATTCTCTGCTCTTTTTACTTGAGGATCTCAAAGCACAGTGCAAAGGAATGTAAGTATTATCCTCATTTTACAGATGTCTAAAGCTACACAGCTATTCAGTGGCAGGATTGTTAGCAAAATCTAGATCTCTTGATTCGCAATCCAGTGTCCTAGCCAATGAACTATGTTACTACCCTCTGCTCCCATGCACCTCCTCAGGATCATATCACTTTTAATCATTTACTTTTATAAGTAATCGGAATACAGGTAACTAGTTAGTGTAATTAATTCCCCTAGCAATCCTGACCAGGAAAATCTTTTTACAATTATTATTACTTCTTTAAAAAAAAGAGCTTGAAACAATAATGAAGTGAGGAGAAATCTTTTTACAATTATTATTATTTCTTTAAAAAAAAGAGCTTGAAACAATAATGCCTAGATTGAAATGTCACTACATAATTTGAAAACAAAGAAGCATGAGGAAATTTACCATGTCTGCAAAGCCATTCATGGCCATTGTGTATGAATGCTTTCCCATTGACTCTTCCAAGTTATGAACTGTAACCATTTTCAGGGTTTTTTCCCAGATCAGGCGCCTGGAAAGCTCTTCCTCCTGAAATAATGAAAAAAATGGGAACATTTTTTGGCCAAAAAAATTGGGTTAATAAACATTTTTAATTTTTTTGGCAGAATAAGGTGTTTTTTTTATTATTTTCCAATGGAAAATTTCCCAATGAAACTACATTTTTTTGTTTCATTTTAAATTGAAATTTCATTTTGTTTTGTTTTTCTTCTAAAATTTTCATTTTCTTTTCTTCTTTTTTTCCCCTTATTGCCATAATAAGATGAATAATGTATAGTTTGGGAGGAAGAGGACTCCCCAGTTTTCCTTTTTTTTTCTTTTTCCCTTTTCTACTCTAACTTTTTAAACTTCTTCCATTTTGCAAGAGTTAAATAATGGCAAAAGGAAAAATGAAATATGCCACTCTAGCTTTTCCAAGTTGGAGAAGTTTTGCCAAGTTACAGAGTAGAGAAAGGAAAAAATGAAAGAGTAAAAAGTGGAAAGAAAAAAGATGTCTTTCATTATTACATTCAGTAGCAAAACAAAAACAAAAAAACAGTGAGAGAAAAGGGAAAAAACTAAAATCAGAAGTTTCAAAAGTTTGACTAATTTTTAGTTTTTTAAAACCACAACAAAAATCTCAAAATGAATCTGACACAATGAACGTTTTTTGTTTCAAAATTTTCAGGTGACAAATTGAAAAATTTCAAATGAATAATTTTTAATGAAAAAATTTTCAAAAGGCAAAAAATGGTTTTTTCAACCAGTTCTCATTAAATTGTCGAGCATGGACAATGTAATTACAATTTTTAAATATTGAGGAGCACTCTGTTTCTTTCTGGTAATTTCCATGCGCCAGAGATATACACCAAATTGAGAGTGAGTAAAGTTATTCTTTTCCTTTCAGGAATTTGAGGAAATACCCAGATCAAAACATAATTGCTTTGGATGAAAAATATTAAGAATGTTTCTCTCCACTTGTGATATAGTCCAAGAATGTAAATTAGCTTATTAGAAACACAAACTCTTGAGCTACTCTTTGTAGGCACATTGAAGCAACCTTCAGCTGGAAGTGTAAGTGACCCTTACCACAGTTCAGATATCACTAATAAATAGTTGTGGAGCTATTCATGATCATATTTAATCCAGATAGACCATGATGTTGAACATTTCAGTCTCCATAACTCTATTCAGTTCTTTTGTTTGTCTTGGCCACTAAATTATTAACCAGTAAAAAGAATCAACCAGGTAGTAGTGGGTATGGTTCTGCCTATGAACGTTTAATGCAATACACCATAAAAATAAATATTTAGAATGCAAAGATAATTACCTCACTGCTGTACTGCTTTTCGTAGATTGTCTTCCAGCGTTCCCAGTCTGAATCAAGGGTAGGATCCTTGCCTATGTTGGCAACAGATGCTGCTACCATAAGCAGTAAAACACTGCCCACTGTCAGCATCTTAAACTGGAAAAGATGTAAAAGGGATGTTCTATGACACAATGTATTCCTTCCTTCCCATCACAGTCCAGGATCTTTGAAGAGCTCAAGGGAATGGCAAAGGCACACAGCAGGTGTGGGGATCCCAACCGTGACACGCTGACCGTGCCTCAGGTAGAGCTGTAGCCAGACTAAGGTCAGCTGTCCATGGGCCACTTCCTCCCCACCCCTTGGGGTGTACCTGGAGTAGCGGGGTGTTGTCTGCCTCCTCTGGATAAATGGCCCACGGCAGTCCTGGCAGGTCTGTGGCAGCAGTAAGTTCCCTGGCAGGCAGGGCGTCACTGGCCTCAGCAGCAGGGTCGGTGGCCAGGAGCGAGCTGGGTCCGTCTGCCTCCTCTGGTGTCTCAGCAAAAACTGAGCAGGAGGGAGGCCACACCGCCTCACTACACAAATGTTTTCATCAATATTTGAAATATTCCTCCAAATAGTCACAAATAATATTACCCTATGAACAGCAGTGAAGTTTGCCCAGAATTTGTGAATCTGCTTTCCGATCATTTCCCACTTTTAGTCCTAGATCTTTAAAAGAGAAGAGCAGCTATCATACTCACCACTGGACCCCCTTATTGGTCAAGACCAAGAACAGAATAAGCCATAGAAATGTAACCCCCCTGCTTATCCCCATGAGGTGCTCCCTCTGGATAGCGTGGAATCCCATTTAGCAGGGCAATATGAAGGAAGCTCACTGAGCCATTGTGTCTATTTTGTTATGGACAGGAGATGTCACTTCTGTCTTTGGGACTGTTGACCCTGCACCCTTCACTGCATTAAATTAAACGAGGGGGCAGAAATAGAGAAAAACAGATAAAGTAAAATGATAAGTCAATTCACGTAGCATATATGCAAAGTACCTGTTAAACTGCTGTGATCCTGAGACAGTCCTTCTTCTTTGCACTTAAGGACCAGGCTGAGGACAACAGACCACAGACCAGGCTTACTAAGACTGGATGTAGCAAAGGTTCCTGGGTGCTTTATAAAGTCAGGGATCCAGCGGTCAGCTGGAGAAGTTCCCTATGCAGAGGTTTCATTTTTCTTTAAATATGCTTTCTATCGTGAGAATAGACTATTTCTTGCTCAAGACTTGTTTTGTAATGATTAAGCAGGCACAAAACCCAAGCAGAAGGAAACAAAAGCAGAATCGGAACTGAAAGCAAATATCTTGTTGCTCCTTTTGCATACAACATAGGTGAAATGGTCAAATGGTATAACTTGCTTCCATAAAAAGGTTTTGTCACATTTGGCTAGCTTGACGCATGCAGTTATATGAATGGGACGTATTCTCAGTGTATATAATTGAAAGATAAACCTAAAAACAAAGTTTCCAAGAGGACCGAATGCTTAATGGAAATGGGATATGAAGCCCTTCAACTCTCAGTGACCATTCAAATCCAGCCCATGGCGAAACTGTTACTTTGCAATTGCTATTCAGTGTTCTATGTGAATTGAGTTTGGCAGTCTCCATGTATTTCCTTATGGACCTGTGTCCACATCACAAAACTGTGTCCGTGCTTGGTGAAAATTTGGAACTTTCCTGGCAGCCTCAAGAAGAAGCCAAAGCTAGAATGTGCCATGGGGACTGAACTCAACCTCTCACATCAGGATTGAGGCACTTTGCTTGGGGCCACGGTGGGAGATGCTTACAGTGCCACTGCCTTGTCTTTCTCACCAACAGAAGTTGGTCCAATAAAAGATACTACCTCACCCACTTTGTATCCCTAGTTCTATATTTCAGTTTTTCTGCACTAAACCAAGAACTTCACCCTCCAAGTTATGCATCTGACACTTTCAACTACATTATCACTAGATTTGCTGAAAAACACATTAAATAAAAGAATTCCCGGTGAAGAGGCATTTTTAAATGAAATCAACTAATCTACATTTTGAGGTGATTAATGCCGATAAGATGATAATTTCATAGATTTCCATTTGCAAGCATTTTACTGGAGTGGGCAGACGATTTTTAGCAATGCAAGGACGGGGGTAGGAGATTTGCATAGTTCAGTAAACATGGTCGTTCCAGTTTTTATTTTCCACCTGCTTTAATTTCCAACTTTGCATTCAGAGCATGTATTTTACTTTGGTGATATAACCTTTCCTCTTTTGTTCCAGGCTGGGTGCAGAATAGTTTCTTCAGATCAATGGACTGTAAGGTTATTCATTTCTGAGTCAGAGATCTTGAGCCTGATGATCATAGAAGCTACTTCCTCCAAAGTCTACTTAAAAAAGAAAGAAAGAAAAAAAAGAGAAGAGAATACAGAAAAAAATTACCAGTAATTACCAGTGTGTGAGGGCACCATGAGTCAATGGATCTGCTTTTTGTCAGTATCCGGAGTTTAGATGTGCTGATTTTAGTGACAAAATGAAAGTGCTTTATGCTCCTCTTGGCTCTGAAGATCAAACACAGATGGATTCTGTTCTGGTTTGTATCAACAGAACTGTTCACTAAGTTCCAGTCGCAGGAACTAAGTTATGTCTGTGCAATTCCATCAAAGACACGGAGTCAGACTGGGGTAGCTCGGGCATAATTTTAAGATAATGAGGTTGCGGAGGTGTAGGCGAAGGCAGAGTTTGGTGAGCAAGTTCTTTATTCCTGGTGATGATGCAACCAAGAAGTACCCAGCTTGAATTTCAGATCCCAAGTCCAGTGTGCAGTGGCAGCGAGGAAAAAGGAATATTTTTATTTGAACACTGATCAGATTTGCTGTGTAGTTAACATGGAGAGACACAATGCTATTTTTACCGTGACTTATCAGCCACACTTCAAGCCCTTAATCCTGCAACCAAGGTTGTCGTGTTCCACTGCAAGTCTGAATGGAAGCTATGCATGGGCACAAAGAAGGTTAACTCCTCGACATAGGTCTCCACAGTGAGAGAAAATCAATCTCAAGTTTCTTGCACGCCTACTCTCTGAGGCCAGGTGTACACCACAGACTTACGTTGGTATAACTACATTGCTCAGGGTGTGAAAAATCCATCCGCCTGAGCAACATAGTTATACCAACCATAACCTCCCCATGCAGACAGCACTATGACAGTGGGAGAAAAGCTTCTCCGGTCAACATAGCTACCACCTCTCACTGAGGTGGATTAACTATGGCGATGGGAGACAGCTCTTCACTTAAGCACTATAGCAGCATTTTTAGAATAGACCTGCCCTTACTCTGAAGAGTGCAACCTTGAATGAGATTTTAGGGCCTTTTTCATAGTTACATTAAGGCTCACTTACATTGCTCTGGCAGCCTAAAGTGCCTTAAAGTGGGTACAAATGTAATTTATACCTACGGTGAACCAGTGGCATAGCCAGCTTCTAAGAGGAGGGGGAGCAAACATAAAAAAGGCGCTCCCCCATTGGCTCCTCCTCTGGCCATGCCCCCCGTGGCTCCTCCTCCGGCCACTCCGCGCCCCCCCCCCCTTGGCTGGCTCCTCCGGCTGCACCACCCCTCCCCCCGCATGGCTCCTCCGGCCCTGCCATGCCACCCCCGCAGCCCGCCCCTCGCTCCTCCGGCCGTGGCTGCCGGCTGCCATGCTGCACCTCCACCTCCTCCGGCTGCCCCCCCATGGCTGCCGGCCACGCTCTGGGCCACCAGCCTGCGCCCCCCCTCACTCCTCCAGCCACGGCTGCTGGCCGCGCAGCGGGCCGTATGCCGCGCCCACCCCGCTCCTCTGGCCGCGCCCACTGCCCCCCCCATGGCTGCGGGCCGCCAGCCTGCGCCCCCCCTCGCTCCTCCGGCCGCTTTTGGAAAGGCGCCGCTTTTGGAACATGTGCTGAGGGGAGGCAGCTGCTTCCCCTGCACCCCGCTAGCTACGCTACTGTGGTGAACCCTCTTTCAGCTGCCAAAGTGGTGCAAAAGGTGCTTAGCAAAACTGAGAATTAGACCCATGGTCTTTTGTTGTCTCATTATAAAAGAAAATGATCTTTCTTGACAAACAAGAGAAATGGTTTGAACTAAATAGGATGAAATTCAAAAAGGACAAATGCAAAGTGCTATACTTAGGAAGGAATAATCAATTGCACAAATAAAAATGGGAAATGACTGCTGTTAATACATCTCAGAATGACGTTTGCTTTTTTTGCAACAGTGTTACATTGTTGACTCATATTTAGTTTGTGACCTACTATAACGCCCAAATCCTTTTCTGCGGAACTCCTTCCTATGCTATACTTAGGAAGGAATAGTCAATTGCACAAATAAAAATGGGAAATAACTGCATCATTCTGGGATGTATTAGCAAGAGTGTTGTAAGCAAAAACACAAGAAGTAATTTTTCCTTTCTACTCAGCACTAAACCCTCAACTGAAGGATTGTGTGCAGTTCTAGGCACTAAACTTTGGGAAAGATGTGGGCAAATTGGAGAAAGTCGAGCAACAAAAATGATTAAAGGTCTAGAAAACATGGCCTATGAGGAAAGCTTGGAAAAACTGGGTTTGTTTAGTTGAGAGAAGAGAAGACCCACAGCGAGGCCACGTCTGGCCTGGGTTGTCTGACTCAGGCTCATGGGGCTTGGACTGTGGGACTATAAAATTGCAGTGTAGACATTCAGGCTCAGGTTGGAGCCCGGGCTCGGAGACTCGGTGCAGTGTGTCTTTTATCACAGTGTAGACATACCCTTCGTCACTGCTTCAGCACTTGCTCACCACTCTCTGCTAGCACAGGCAGGTGAAGGTGCAGACACTATTATCCAAGTCTGCCTGCTCCACTGACTTTATCACTGATTTAGGGCTACCACCTTTTCCTATCTGTCCTGCAGGATAAACT